ACCTACAGTTTTTCCAAGCTTAAAAAAAGGAATGGACTAAACGGAAATCACACCGACTCACTCTAAAGATGGCGGAAGGGTTAAAATAATGAGAATAGGCAGACCAAAAAGATCGGAAAGTATACATCCTGCTGTTGAAGTCCTCTGCACCCTGTAATTTCCATCACGCTAATCCTGTGTTTTCGATGCATATCTACCAAAAATTTATATTATTAAATGTTTTCCAAATTTCCTTTTTTAGTTTTAGCCGTATTAACTAAGACTTGAATAAAGAATAAGGGTGAATCTGATAATTTTCACACAGAGAAAAAAACAAGTAGCAGCATTTTCTTGTATGAACCAACTACAGAAATAACTGATATCTGAATAACTACAGAAAAAACAGTAAAAGAAGCCAAATTTGAAACTTTCAAATCTAAAGAATAAAAAAGGTGAACGTTTTTTATTGTTTTATATAAACAAAAGCGTGTTTGTTTCATAGGGCAACATATTTTTAATGGACATTCAGGTCTTTAGATTTTGGACCTTCTTCTAATTGTCGGTTTTGGGGCCGACCCTGCTTATGGCAACTTCAGACCGAGCAGTATGCCAGTGGAATACCACAATTAATGTATATGAGGCCCGGGGTGTTATTTTCTTCTTCCAGCACCTGCTCCGACCTCGGCCGGAACTCGGTCCCCTTTCAGGGCCACTGCACGGCGGTACATCTGGCGTCCTCGAAAAGAAAAAGAAACACAAGGCGTATTTCCTAGGTACGCACGCACACCAGAATTGCGGCATGGCAATTAACCGATCTAAAAGACGCTCCTCGGTCGAATTCCGCGAGCTTTTAAGCTTGTGAGCTTGAAAAAGCCGTGCGTTGTTCGGGGATCGTGAAGTTGTCGTTGAAACGCTTGTCTAAGCGTTAAGTTTGGAGAAAGCCATAAAAAAGCTGAGCATCGCCTACAATTTAAAACACTTTTAATAATATTACGCTGAACATTGAATAATGTAAAGAATGATGGCAGTCCAGAGATATGAACTTTTGTTTAAAACATTTCCCTATTTATCCAGAAATCGTGAGATGCGGTCTGGTGTAATGTAGGTTTCAGAAAAACATTTTCTTTATCGTGCCAACGTTTCGNAAACGTTGGCACGATAAAGAAAATGTTTTTCTGAAACGTACATCACACCAGACCGCATCTCACGATTTCTGAATAATTATCGATTAACGGTCACTAATCATCCTCCCACAGATTTCCCTATTATTTTGTTATTGTAGTTCAGCGAAGGTTATTTGTTTATTGTGTATTGTAGTTAAATTAGTATTTATATAGTTTTATCCTATGGTTTGGTCCATCTCCTACGTTAAAAGGTTCCCCCTACTCTAAGTTAAATTGAACAATAACGAATTTTTATCGATTCCAAAAATGTACAAAGTAATATTACAGCTAATATAATCAAATTGCTGACGGATACCATCATTGTCTAAAGACAGAATCTACAAATTTAATTACTCTTTATTAGCTATTAAAACCCCCGATTATCAACTACATTGTAAAACTGTTATAAAATCAGTTTCATTTATTGCAATTCACTTACGTAAGCACTATACAATATCCAATAAAATCATTATTACTTTCAATTATATCATAGCCATGCAAATATTTGAATTTGATGTTTTGTTTAAGTTGATGTAGATGAGGGATTCTGTCTGCATGTTGGTGAACACTTGCTGAACTTGCACTGGGGTCAGTTTGTGTCCTTTTGCTAGTACTGAAAGACCCAGAGCTAATTCAAAATATTTTCTCTCCTGAACTACTAGGAAAAATTTGGTACACATTAAAAAAAATGTTATTAAAACATCTTTTTATCAGTTATAAATGTTGCAGTAAAATTTTCTACATGTTAGGCAGGTAAGACTGCACCTCATTGATTTTGATGATCAGAGATGACCAAATCACTAGTTCACCGATATAGATCTTCAATATATAAATCAAAACAGCAGACCAAAATAATCAGAAACAAAATTTCATCCCCCTGCATACCCCGAGAGGAAATCTAACAAACATTTATTTGTAACATATCCTTTAATTATTAATCCATTTATGTTTAATGGCCTAACTGACCAAATCACTTATTTAAATGAATTATACTTTTCACGTAAGGTCTTGGATGAGATGAAAAAGGCCAGCTTAGCCAAAGGTCATGGGTTCGAATCCCGTTCGTTACACTTAACTTTTTCCTCTCAATCAAGACCTTAACATAAAAAGAATAATTATTATCCTGTTCCTGAATTTCAGGCCTTGGGTTGGGAGTACTCCTGCCACTGCAGTGAGCTCTCTATGCAACTCAAGTGATCGTGAGGATGCATTTCATTTTCTCGCTAGATGCTCGGTCCTGAACGAATTGAGGTATCTGTATGTGGGTAGGGGTTTTCTGACGAGGGAAGAGCTCATAGCCCTTCTGAACGGCTCCGATTGCGGGGGTCTTGTTGATTTTGCTCGGAAAGCCTGGTTTTACAGATATGAATACATTGGAATGTAGGGAATTAATGTTCTTTTCGTCTTATTTTGTTTCTTTTTTCTTTTTTGTTTGTCTTTTTATTTTTTATTTTTATTTTTATTTTTTATTTTTTTTGTTCTGTTTGTCTTAATACATATAATTTCTAGTTTGTGGGGTTCTAAATGCGAATTCTGTTGGCCTGTGGGGGACCCTATGTAAGTTAGAATCCTTTTGTTCTTTGAAGTGTCATTTTTATTATTTTCAAAATTTATCGCAATTCAACCTTGTAATTTCGAAATCCTGTAAATAATTGTAACCTCTGAAGTTGATATTTTAAATTCTCCTTTTCTCATAATTATATAATTATGCATATTCTTGGGATAGTAATGCACTCCGAACTCTGGCTGACGGTTTTAATACCATGCCATAATAATACTGTGTTTTTTATTTTTAACTTTAAATTTTTTCATTTTGTAAATAAAGTATATCTATCTATCTATCTATCTATCTATCTATTATTATCCTTAAACATTGTTAAGTAACACATAGATAATTTTTGATAATTTAATTAACATTTGCTCCACCACATTATTGAAGTCTTAAAATTGTGTGACATTTCAAAATTTTCATTCATAGTTTGATCATCTTGTTAAGATTGTTCACACTCAACAAACTCGAAGCAAATTAACCCAGGTTAGACACAATAGGCCTGAAATTTATTAACCTAATCTCTTTAAAAGATGTTACTCACAGTTTGTCGTTTTCAACGAATGGGATTTCAAGCATTAAATGTTCATCATCAGATTGAATGAGTTACAAACACATCTCCCGACATGAATTGTAAGAGGTTTAGACACTCAAGACTTGAAACATGTTAACCTAGGTAAGACACTCAACAGACGCAAAGTATATTAACAGGTTAGTTACTCAACAGACTCAAAGTATATAAAGCCAGATTAGACACTCAAGACTCGAAAGATAAGAACCTAAGTTAGACATTCAACAGACGCAAAACGTATTAACCTAGGTTAGGCACTCAACAGGCCCAAAGCATTTTAACCCAGATTGACACTCAACAGATTCAAAGTATATGAACCAGGTTAGACATTCAAAAGACTAAAAGCATATGGCATACACCCTTCGAGCCAATGAAAGTAGCTGGCTACCTGGATAATAGCAAAATGGCAATATGTAAGTTGTGCACCATCTCATACCACTCAATCTATACTACCAACATGAACTAGCAAGTTATTGCAGCATCAATTGCTGTACTGCTGATAATAATTAAAGCACTAGAATGGGCAGTTAATTTAAAAGAAGAGCTACAAAATTACAAGAATGGACCTTAATAATAAAATTTGTATAACCAATTGTTGAAAAGATGATATACTGTAAGAACAATGAAGGCTTTGGGATAGAAGGTAGATTTACAATGGGCAAAGACACATGGTGTAAAAAATAATGGAAATAAGGAAAGCTGATTGATTTTCAAAAAAGGCCATCGTTGATCAGTCCTTGCCTATTATATTTCAGAATAACCCAAATCATTTGTGAAGCTGGCATCAGAAGAAATAACCGAGAGACAGCAAAAATCACCAATTATGAGAAATTTGGATGTCACTGATCATTTTGGTCTTCTTATCCTCATTTTGTTAGTCTATCATGAAGGTTAGTCCACCAAAACGAAGTAAGGACAGGCAGGCCAAAATGATTGGAAATGACCAATCTACAGGTTCAACACCCTGCACACCTCAAGAAGAATATCTCAAACTAAGAATAGTAAACTTCATCATCTGGACCAACTGTCTCAAAGCTGCCATCACTTTAGATCACACAGAACCAATACTTTTATTACCATCTTACCAACCCAGCAAAAATAGGCATACCAAAATTACTGAAAATGACCTAACTATAGATTCATAACCTTGCAAAACCTGACTTCTTTTTGTCACTAAACTTGAACGTGAGTACTAATTATAAACTTCCCTTAGCTACATACTTATTGGAAGTATTGATGCAAAGTGGTAAAACAGCAAATATTACTGAAGGATGAAAACAATTCCTTTTCTGTGTATAAATTTTATTACTTAAAATAACACTGTATTTAAAATAACCCACATTGTAATCAAGAATATTGTACATCCTGTAAGGGTTTTTAAAAAAATTATTATTATTATCCATATTTGAATTAAGAATTTTAACATATTTGGAGGAGGGGATTACAATTACGAGGAGTAAGATAAAATATTTGTTTTGACTCGTTTTGACAACATGTATTTTACCAAAGTCTTGGATAAATTTTTTGACAAACTTGTACCTTCATCTCGTGATTTTAGTTTGGTTATCCTAATTTTTAAATTATTTATCTTTTAAACGCTTGTATAACCAGCAATTTTCATTTAAACCTCATCAAAAATGAAATTGTTATTAATCTTAAAAGCTAGATTTTGGGGTATTTCATTTTGTGTTACTATTTGAGGTAGTGTTTCAAGTGTGTCACACCTTTACTCGCATTCTTTTGCAAAATAGCGGCCATGATCCATTTTTTTTTTTTTTTTTAATTTAGACACAAACAATCGCAATTAATAGCTAACAATTGCTGAATCGTTTCGAGTGTACTTCTAAACGGCTAAATGCCCTCAATGGTGAAAAACCCTGTTTGTGCTGATGAAATGTCAGTGTCGCTCGGGATACTGTCACATCAAGAAACGATTAATCTAATAATACTGTTTGTTCTTTCACATTTCACTTTTAAACCTATTACAATATTAAAAACGTTCGATTAATAACAAGAGAGGGGGGTCACGACATTTATAATTTATTCGTTTCTACATTGAGCTGGTTTTTATCATAACACAAAAATAAATTTAGCAAAAATCCATTCAAGACCAATAAAAAATAACTTCATTTTATATATAAATACCATAGCTTTTTTTACATATTTCTTCTTTATATATAAATTGGCACTAATTATATATTATTTTTCATTTCTCGACATATTTTGTTCTTTTTTTTAATATTTGATTTTGTCCTCCTTAATAGGAAGCCCTAGATATTTATCTATAAACCAATGCAATCCCTTCCTTCACCTTGTTTCTGTTATGATGTGTCATCAGTCTTAAAATATCACCGAGTCCCACTAGTTAAAGCCAAATTTTTCAAACTGGTGAAAGGTCTTTTTATAAAAGGCCAGTTTTTCTTTAGAAGCGAAACAGCTTAAAATGTAATATTACAATAAACTCTTTTATTATTATGTAAAAAAAAAGCAGATAAAAACTATTGAAATAAATTTTGCAGTCTGTCCGACGAATTTAATCAAACTCGTTCTGTTTACAATTAAGAACTGTGCAATGTCGAGAGGATGAAAATAAATTACAAGAACAATTTCAATGCCGCTTTATACATATTTTCTTAAATTACTAACATAATGATACTTTATTTTTTTGGATGAGGGCTTAAAGGTAAGTTTCAAAATTTAAGGCACCTGCTCAATCAGAGATGAAGATACTTGTGTTCAAATTATTTATTTAGGATAGGGACTTACATAAAAAAATACCTTGTTATAGACCAATCTGTTGGAACTGGGCGTCGTTTTTAATCTGTCAAAAAAATAATAAACAAAATTGTTTGAAAGTTACATTTACAGATTGATCCTTCCACCAAGTATTCTAACGCGAATTTTAATTTTGCAAACACTTAGGAAAAACTAACTGTCACTGTTTCATTAAGAGTAAAACATATTTTTTAAAATATTTTTTTAATAATTAGACCAAGACAATTCCTGGTTTACTTAAATTTCCATAAAATGTTATATGTCTCAATCCTCCAAGTATTGTGTTCATGGGGACTGGGATGGTTATACGGTGCCATTTTATTCCTCCAAAGTGCCTGGAAATAAGAGAAAAAAAACCTTTGTAAAATGCTGGATTTTAATGGCATGCGTTGTTTCAGATTTCATATAAATGTGACAAAAAAATTTAATTAAAAACATCGGAGATTCATTTTACGCCACAAAGATTGAATTTAATGTTTCAATGTGTCAGTGTTCCCAAATCATCTGGTTTGATTTTAATATGATAGTGTGACTACTTTTGTTCTAAATAACGTATAAGTGATAAAATTAATAGTTCTGTAATGAGAATGACTTAAAAAGAGGAAACTTATTGTCTGATATCCAACAATTGATCATTTCCAAAATAGGAAATTTGATATCTAATATCCAACCATCAATCAGAACCAAAGGAAGAAATTTAAGATGTGACATCCAACAATTAATCAGATCCAAAGTAGTAGGAAATTTAACATTTGACATCTGACAATCAATCATATCCAAAGTAGGGAAAGATCATGAAGTTTGCTTTTCCACTTCCACTTATAACAATCCAAAATAGTATAAATTTGTACGATTTCCTGATTCAATACTACATATAATGCCTCCATGTAATGCCTGGCTATTTGACAATCACGCAAGAAGATGATTGGATCTAAAATAGGAAATGTGAGACTGGCTTTTCTAACTAACAGAAACAAAACAGGAAACCTTCTGATTTCTTCATCCAAAGTAGCACGTATGATGTTTAGCCTTTGGATTATCCAAAAATAAAACCATAATAGGATGTGACAATCATGTTGGACAATTTGACGGCATCAAACTTCCAGATATAAAAGATGAGAAAGTGAGGTTCCCTTCGAACATTTGGATCCAACAGACAATTGTTTTAGAAAATTAAATTCAAAATAAGAAAGGTTAAGCTGACTAGAGCCATCCGAAGCAGAAAATATGAGGTTGGACTGTACATTTAACTGGCACTAGTTACAATTATATTTATTGAAAGAATGAAATGTATGGTTGGTCTACAAGAAACATAGGATTGGAATAGGAAAATTAACATAAACCAATCAACTCCCAAATTCAAAATAGGGAATATGAGATCATCCTATAAAATTTATTGATCTATCTGACAATAGTTTATCAGACCCATCCAAAACAGGATATTTTAGGTTGTTTTTCTGGACCCGATTAGAAAACTAAATTTGAAGTTACCCAACGATGAAGATCAGCCGATGCGACTAAATTAAGTTTAAATTTTAAAGGCAATAGGTTCATGATCCATAATAAAAATATCTATCAAGAATGATAACAATATCAATTCAACACATTTATGCATCCATTGTTAAATTTAAAGTTGTTTTTGTTAAAAATGAATAACAAATAAATGGGGGGGGGGGATAAAAATTACTTTAGGAGAAAGTTTTGAGTCAATTAATGGGTACAACTATTTCAACAGACAATTTCAAGTAGTTCATAGTTTTTGTCTTTTTATTAAAATTAGCTAATCTATAAAACATTTATTGCAAGCAATGCTAGTAGTTGCATGAAATTTCCACATTTCCAATTTCTGATCTGCTTTAAAATAAAAAATACATTTCTTGCTTCTCTATCAGTTGTATCTGAGTGAGAACCTGGATTATAAAAACCTCGTGAGCTCTTTCAACTTTTTTATTATTTTACATAAAATATAAAAACGTTGGAAAAGCTTACGAAGTTTTTATAACCCAGATAAAAAATGCATTGTTTGAATTTTTTTTTTAAATACCAAACAAATTACTTTTATTCCCCCCCCCAACCAACATTGCTGGAAATGAGAATACATTACTATAAAAGTGTACAAAGGGTAATAAAACTGTCAATTCTTTCAAATGACTTACATTGAAATAAAAATGATTTTCATTGGTACATCGTAAAAATTGTACTTTGTGTAGGACATGCTACATCACGCTCAATTGAGCTCAATAGCAATTTAAGATTGGTTCCAGTCAATTAAAGACCAAAAAACCCACATATCAATTGTAGATATAAGAAAAAATGTTTGTCATAGCAGTATTATTTATTTATTTATAGATATTGAAATAGAAAATTTTTTCTTAATCTTGCACCAATATTAAGCATTATCAAGCCTTGCACAATATGAAAAAAATGTCTAGATTTCACAAGTTCAACATATATTTGTACGAACAGACGCATACATTCAATCTGATCATTCAAGAATTAGATCCAACAAAGTAGGAATTTGTGATTGTTATATACAAAGAAGAGAGCAATGTAGTAATTTAATTCTAGTCATATGGACGACTAAAATCTGTTGGGTGTTGTAGACGAGAGAACAAACATCTTTGCAAGACTTTTTAAACTATTTTCAATTAAAAAGCCATGGATACAGGATTCAAACTCAGAGCCTCTAGTGTGGCTAATACAAATCTGACGCCCTAACCAGTCGGCCACCACGGTCCCTTGCTAGATACAAAGTAGGTAACGCGAGATAATCTTATGACAATCAGATCTTAAATACAAAAGAAGACGTCTAAGCGACAGACAAAACGACTGGATTCAAGAAATCCATTAATGTGTAGTATTTAGTGACTGTTAATAATCATTTAGAGATGTGTTCTGGTGTGATGTAGGTTTAGAAAAACATTTTCTTTATCGTGCCAACGGTTCGATCTTTATTGAGATCACCTTCAAGGTTTTATAAACATTGTTTAAATTACACAAATACATGTAAGATGTGAAAATAAATTGACACAATGATAAAAATTTTAGGTTTAAACAAAGTATTTGTACTCACTCAAAGTATGTTTTCTGTATAGATGTGTCACTGTTGTGTGTCGTGTTAGTGAGATGTTAATAACTTTTTGTTTATGTTTGATTTTGAAGGGGTGGGGAAGGAAGTAGGGATAGAAATTCATTTTTCTACCCCCTGATGATTTTCTACAATCTGACGGTATATTGAATCTAATATCCGACAATCAATCGGATCCAAAGTAGGAAATTTGAGATCTGATATCCAACAATCAATCGGATCCAGAGTACGAAATTTGAGATCTGATATCCAACTATCAATAAGATCCAAAGTAGGAAATTTGTGATCTGATATCCAACAATCAATTGGATCCGAAGTAAGAAATTTGAGATCTGATATCCAACAATTAATCAGATCCAAAGCTGGAAATTTGAGATCCGATATCCGACAATCAACTGGATCCCTGATATCCGACAAATAATCGGATCCAAAGTATGAAATTTGCCGTATGATAGCCTACAATAATCAGATCCAAAGTATGAAATAGGATTTTAAAAGGAAAAAAAATAATATATTCTTCCAAGCATATCCAAAATACAAAATGTGGTACCTGACACCTGACAATCTGATCTAAAATTAGGAAAAGGTCATTTCCAATGACCGACAAAACAATCAGCCTTAAGAAAGTAGGAATGTGAAGATGGTGACAGCTTTATGCTATGTCTCAATTGTGACATCTGACATCCATCAATCAGATCCAAAATAGGAAATTTGAACCTGATAACCAACAATCAATTGGATCGAAAGTAGTACTATAATCAGATCTAAATTAGAAAATTGGATTTTCAGATGATAAACAAAACAGTTTTAGCAAACTAGGGAATGTGAAAACTTTCTTCCAACAGACATAACCAAAGTACGAAATATGATATCTGACATCTGGCAATCTGACCTTTCCTGAGGAATAGGTCAGATTTCTTCTGAATTATATTTTTATGCAAATTTGGAAATATGTCAGATCCAAAGTAGCATGTGGATTATCCAAAAATATAATCTTAAGACAATATTGGATTCATAGAAATTTCAGACCTTGTCTTACTACTGATCTGACAATAGAAATAAGACAGGGAGCACCTAATCTTCTGATTGTCCTCTTTGGTGAAGAACTATCTTAAAAATAGATATATTTCATCACAAATTAAACTGTATCCATTTTCATACTAAATTTACACTTCAATCTACCATTAGTAAATAAAAAGTGTACCTTTCAGAGAGGTTAATTTGTTTTAAAGTGTAATTATGTAGACAATTTTTTTAAATGCAACCAATATGGTCAGGCAGTTTTTCTAACCTTCTATAGCTCACAGAAAGGACATTAAAAACATTTTTTGAATCTAAATGTTCATAAATGTGGTTCTTATTTTAAGAGTTGGGAAAAAATAAATAAAATAAAATAAAAACACCAGTAGAACCTCAATTAAATTTATTTTCGTCTGTAACAACTAGTCTAAGTAGTTTCAAATATATCAATTTTACCTCTCACATTTTGTTTAAGACCATTTCGGTTGTCAGAGAAAAAAAAAACAATTCTATCAATATATTTTTATTTAAATCAAACAAGATTATAAAAATACAAATATATTTCAATATTACTCTTAAAAATAAAAAGATAGAATGAACTAAAGATAGTTTGTTAGGTTTTTCTTTTTCTAAATAGGAATATTATTACAGGCTAAGAATCGTTAAAACTTTTTTACAAGCCTCAGATCCCAGGGCCAAGACAGAATCTCATTTTCCGTTAATTGAGGTTCTACAAGTACGCTTCTACTCTTCAAAAAATACTTTAAAATAGTTGAACAATTTGGTGTTATTGAGTAATAAAATACTGAAAAAAAATCGAGATTCAAAACAAAAATATAAACGTCTCAGTAGAAGAAATGAGAAAAAATTAAGCAACAAATAAATATGTAATAACTGAACTTTTAAAATGAAAATTTATTCATGTTTGGATTTGTGAACGGAACACTACAAAAAAACAAAAACAAACAAAAACGGTTACTGTGTTACTGTATGGACATATAAAAACTTAAGACCAGCCCCTTCTTTTCATATATATTTTTTTTAATTTTTATCTTTTTTTATTTTAAGGTTGGCTTTTTACCTTTTTTAAAATATATTTTCTGCGTACATTTAAACTTTTTTTTTAGCTTCTTTAATCTTCCTCCTCATCAGTTTCAGATTCTAAAAGAAGAAATATACATTAATGATTCTATGACTTTTTTGGTTGCTAAACATGTGGAACATATATAATTTTCTTTTCAATTTACCTTCTTCTGCACTTTGGAGCCACTCTACAAACTTTTTCATTTGTTCTAGAAACATCATTTTTCCTTTGACTGAATGGCCATCTCGGTACCATTTCAAAATTACCTCTTCAGAAATTACTTCCTCTGAAAAACAATGTGTTAGTCACATTTTTATATTTTGTTTAAACCATGAAAACAGCCTAGATAAATTTTATTAAGTTTCGATTACTTTTGTAGAAGAGGAGAATGATTTTTTGAAATATCTTCATGAAATTCATGTTGTCGTAACAATATTCCTGAATCTTAAGAATGAGGGCCATCTCTGATTTTGTGTTATCTGTGAACGCTTCGAAAAGAGGAGTGTACTTTTGTAAATGCTTAAGCGCCTGATCGGCGACGAGCTCGTCTTTCTTGTTCCACTCCGCCAGAGACATGACCGTAACCCAAATCTAAACAGGGTAAAAAAAGAAAGAAATGAACTACAAACCGTAATCTGTACAGGAAAAAAATTGATCATTGTTGTGCTTACAAGTGTTATAATGTCTTGTTCTGAAATGAGGTTTTTGGCCGCAGTCTCCCTTATATCAGTAACAACCTCTTTTAGGGGCTGACCGTCGGCTAATTTCTCTTCAAGTTCTTTTTGAAGATCACGTTTAGCTTCTTGACTTGCCTATAAATTAAAAAAAACCATTAACATTATTTTTAATTTTTAATAAAATACACTACTTGTTTGTGTCAATATGTCAGACATCCAAGGAAGTTGAACTTGATCATAGTTTAATCACAGGTTATGTATGTTTGTCATCATTTTTTTTATTTATTAGATCTATAAGCAGTATGGATTGTTTACCTGTGCTAAATGAAGTTTAACAATTTCCGAAAGTCCTTTATCTTCAAAAGCTGCCCTTAAATGTTCCTCAGTTCTTTTGTTTAGTGGGAAAAAATCCATCAGTCTATAAAAAAATAATGTCTGGTTAAATTCTACAAACACAAAACAAGAAGAAAATAAGACTTACTTTCCCTCAAGGCCCCCTCGTTTAAGGCAAGAAGTAAGACTGCTTAGACCCTTTTCCTGCTTCCAAGTGACAAAGACTTCCAACAGGAACTCCAAGGCAAGGCTGTCTTTAACCAGATGCTCCTTTAAAAATAAATAAATACATAAAATTAATTAAATTAAAAAAAAAAGCTTGATAAAATGTCAACACAATATATAAACTTACATTTATAAGTACTTGGAGGACATTAGGTGGGACGGAGCCGTTGGAGATCCACAATGCTGTCATACGTGCAAGTTTCATACGTTCCGTTTCAGAAAACCCTTTGAGGAAAACAAGTACCTTCTTCATCTCATCTTCGAACATCTTCTCAAGGTACTTGTACCTCCGCATAAGCTTAGTGAACACCTGTTCATAATTACGCAGCGAAACTATATCAGATGGCGCTGCAAATATGCAGGAATTGGTTCTGCAATGCTTATCGCCGTCTTGAGCAACAGAGCCACCGGGGACTGAAACAAATGAAGGTTTTTACATTTTGAAAACTTTTAGTGACAATTTGTAAGAACTTGTTACGTTTTTATGTCAGACATCCAAGGAAGTTAAAAATGATCATTAATAATCACAGAATATATTAATTTTGTCATCATGAATTTTAAGTCATACCTTATAATGCATAAAAATCAATGACTTACCAAGAAGTCCACCGGCAATGAGTATGTCAAATAGGGCTTCGCCATAACGGCGATAGTCCAATTTAGACCCGGCTGCGTCTAGAAACTTCGAAACTGCATCGAGGTCCGAACCAGCCTTGTCCAGGCCGACAAGGATTGAATCACGGAAACCTGAAGGGTCATATTTCTCCCTTTCATCTGGAAAAGTCACATGATATTAATGAAACATTTTTAATTACAAGTTCCTGACCCACATTCATAGAATTTGATGCATTAAAGTCCTACTAGTACTAGTATAACATACAAAAAATTATAAAAAGTTAATAAGAACATAACACTTTGAGTGATAAAAATAAACTTATTTCTGCGGAAATATATCACTTATAAGACCATCAGGACTGATTTTTCCAAGAAAGTATTTTAGTCAGCTCGATTTTATTCTCAGTTTGCCACAATTATTCAAAGAGAGCGCAAGTTTGTAAAGATGATTGTAAAACGTAAAAATTTTACAGTTGAAGAAAAAAACAATTTCTGTAGAGAAGAGGAAAAAAAACCAGGAGAAAAATGGAAAATTGGTGAAGGAACTGAAGGTAAGTCAAAGGACGATTTCAAATATTTTTAAAAATAGGAAACAATTAAAAGAAGACTGAAAAAAAGTTCACATCCCTTATATCACACACATCCCTTATCACATCACACATAGGAGAAACCCTCTTGCAGTGGATTAAAGTCCAAAGGGTGCCTGGCAAATGGACCAATTTTAACAACTTTTGCAAAGCTATTTAAAAAAGTTTTAAGTCTGTTCAAGTTCATGGGTTCAGAGAATTTGGGAGAGACATTCTATGGTATTCAGAAGAGTCAGTGGAGAAGCTAATGACGTACGAACAGGCTTTCTGATAACTGGCTGAAAACCGGACATCACAAGATGCTATGAAAACTATGAAATCTATAATACCGATGAAACTGTCTGTTTTATAAAATGACCTCGGACTGGACAGTACATTTTCAACACGAAAACTAGTGGTGGTAAGCTTTTGAAAAAAAATAACTGTTATGGTTGCTGAGAGTTAAAATTGTTAGGGACCGTAAAATTTAAAAACCAAGAGCATTTAAAAATATAAAATCTTTGTAGTTGACTACTATTCAAATTATAAAGCTTGGAGACGACAGGAGACTTTTAGAAAAATGGCTGTAGAAATGGGACCAAGAATTTCGTAAAAAAATAGGAGGACTTCTTGAGAACTGCCCTACGCACCCTTCAGGTTAATGGTCTTCAAGCGATTAAATTAAATTTTCTTCCTCCATTCAAAATGTCAGTGTTACAACCAATGTACCAGGATTGATAAAATCATTTAAGTTAATTTCAGACAACATTTAGTTTTGACATAGACTTGAATCTTACAACTCAATGGAATATAAAGGATTAAAAAATTGTTGCAGGACTAAATGCAGAAGGGAAAATTAATTTGATAAGAATACGGGTGAAGGTCTTTTTAAAGAATTTTCTTGCCCAAGTGGCAAACAAATGATTACAGCAGAATATTGTTAATAAATTTTTTGTTCGAAATTATGATTTGGCAAAGGATTAGACTAGAAATACTTTCAAAAAACTTGCCACAGTAACCAAAAATGCTTTCTATTTACATTAAGTTTGTTTTTCCCGTTTTATTACACGAGTGATTATTTTTATCATAAATTCATAAATGGATCATAAAATTAATGTACATCGTATTAAACAGTTTCTATGAAGCTACAGTAAAAACAGGTCATATCTGTTTTCCCATCATTTTAAAGTGACGTACAGTAAAATCATCTGCGCTTTCTCACTCATCCATGATTCCCCCCTAGTTAATAGAGGAGATTATCACAGAACAGGATGAAGAAGAATAAAATATAGAAAAACAAGAATGCACATTAAAAAATCTTTTGATTAACTCAAAAGTTAGATAAAATCATAGAATATGATCCAATAGTGGAACGAAGCGTCAATGTAACACGACTGCTTACTCAAACCATGGACCTCTTCAACAAAATTTCCAGCAGGTTAAAAAACCAAACAAAGCAGCCTCCTATAACTTCGTTATTTGAGAAAGCTGAAAGAGCAACATCAACACCTACTTCTGTGTAATTTGATTTAATTTCTTTATCATTTTTTCTTTATTTCGATGCCGTGCCTGGTTGCATACCTGTTGATGTATGTACAGGTTTTTCTGCTTGAAATAAACTGTATTATGTTATTCGTTAAAACAGTTCCCTATTATCTGTGGTGATGCTTGGTACGTATCCCCCACGTATAACGAGTCAACTGTACCTGATATAAGAAATATAATTAAGTTTTTTAGTCCCTTGGTTGCTCTTTACAAGCGATTTCTACTGTAATTTTTTTGTGTGTGTGTGTGCAAGAAATGGATATTTTCTCAAGGCTTGCGTGATTGAATGTATGAATGTTTTGGCAGTGGGTCATTGGTGGAATATTGAATACTCCTGTTGCCCTGCTGGAGTGAATCGTATGTAAATAGAAATGAATGTATTTAAAAATGTACGATGGTATGAATGATGTATGTTTAGCTTTAACTTGCAAGCGTTACAGGCTGAAATGGCCTAGTTGACAATAGAGCCTAATTTTCATTTTGGTCAGAACAAACAAGGCCAAGGTATAAGCTAAATAACATGCCTGGTAATGAAACAATACATTACGAGTGAAATTTTAACGTTTTACAACTGTTTAATTAACTCACAAGTGTCAAAAGGAGTTCTGACAATGTACAAGGAAACGTTACAAATTTGTACTGAACACTTTTCAAGTTGACTGCAAGGTTCTCAGCCTACTACCAGTTTATCAAAACCGTTTAAAAACAAACTGTTTTGATAAAAAGGTATGGACAATTTATTGTTAGTGTTTATCTACTACATTAGTCCTATTTTCTTAAATTCCAAAAATGCTGAGAAAGATTGGTTTTGGTCTAAAAACAAATCGTTCATATTGTTTGAAAACGTGCTATTTAAACAAATAAACCAATTGTGATATTTAAAACAAAAACATTCCAGTCTTTATCACACTAAACATGTGAGAAATTTAAATTACAAAAAAAGAAAATTATGCAATAACTATAAACACTCTATTCAGATATGGCCATGAAGATAAATGTCGACAATTAAACAATGGACAATTAGGAGTTAATTTTTCTACATATAAGCAACACAAAGCACAAAAACATCAATCAAACATAAGGGACAAAAGGCCGAATAATCTGGACTATTTCAAATCAAAATATAAAAGGAAAGTTTCTAAATTCAAACCGGACAGTCTCAAAGTCGTCATAACGTACACTCCACTCTAAAGATGAGATAAAAAGCCAGATAAAATTAAATAAAAATACATTTTAATCAAGGCCGAGACAGTTGCAAACCTAATTTATTTGTTCATTTTGTTTTAATTGTTAAATTAATTTGATAGATTAGTTCTAGACTACAATGTGGTCCCAAATGTAACTTTATTTTGTGCAGTTATTTAATATGTGATGTCATTTAAGTCGTCTCCTCCAATAAGATGAACATGTTAGCTTGGCTATTTCCAATAATTTTGATCTGCCTAGTCTCACGTTTTGGCCCGCCAGACATTTTTCTGCTTTTCATAATTGTTCAGTTAATTTTGAAGAAGATTTTTGGTTATAGGCTTCAAACTACAAAAGTCATGAATGTTGTTGCAGTACTGGCCAGTTAGTGTTTTACCCAGGACTACAGTCCTAATAAGATGGCCTAATAACAATTTTAATGTGTGTAAATCCATGTAAAAAAAGTCTGAAAAATATTTCTTCGTTCTAGACGTTACAAACTTTATTTATTTTGAGTATAATGTAATTTTGATTACAATTATTTGATTTTTATTTTCTACAACCGCCACATCATACATTAAATATTTAACTTGGATTTTCACAAGTAGATGGCGAAAGCCACTGGAAGGAAACTTACTCCAAGATAAATATTCAGCAATATCGAATGCCTGCACTGTTTGTGTATTAACCAGTAAAATAATTGAATTAAAAAATTAAAAAATAAATAAAAAACAATTGTTTCGATAATGTTATAATCGACTATAGAGGTAATTTGAGATACAAGTTAAATTGCTCCAAAACCGAGCTTGTAAGTCAAAATGTTTGTAATCAATTTGTGCTGAAATGGAGGGAAAAAAATATGTATATATAAAATAAAGTGCTTACAATGAACAAATATACCAAAACATAAAACCAAATACATACAAAAAGATGAACAACTAAAGCAGAATCTAAATAAATAAACATATTTGGTGAAGCAGATTAGCTTATACATAATAGAAATTAATTGTTTCATTCACTTGTATTACTTAATTAAACACGTTAATTTTATTCTTACATTATATTGATTTATACTACACGAAAAAAGGCACATTAAAAAATTAATTAAAAATGAAAATAAACAGGACAGAAATTTTTCTACTGTAGTATAACATCGATCTGAGCAACATGATGGATGTGACACCACGAAAGCAGGCTTGTAACTCAAGACAAAAATTTCAACCTGTTGACGGCTCATATCTCAAATGAACTCATGTTGGGGCACTCATATCTCAAGGTCTGGTGTGACAGGTTTTAGAAAAACATTGTCTTTATCGTGCCAACGTTTCGATCTTTATTGAGATCATCTTCAGGGCTCAATAAAGATCGAAATGTTGGCACGATAAAGAAAATGTTTTTCTAAAACCTATGTCACACCAGACCACATCTCACGATCTCTGAATAATGTTTTAATAATAATGCTGTGCTACACCCAGAGTACACATGCCATGAGAAACCAGCCAATATTGGCACTCAGTGTGAGGTATTAAGGAGCAAGGAGGTCTCGAAGCCATCTTTGATTAAAGCGATATGGTCAGTTTTCAGGATGGGAATGGGTAGAATTTGCTCAAGCAGTAGGGTTTGGTTGGATCGAAATATTGGTGTGAAACTTTTGGAATCAGGAATGGATCTATTTGTTGACAAAATGTATATTGAGGTCATGATGTATAGTGAAGTTAGTGACACAGTAATGAACTTGGGGATTGATTGGGATGAGTGGATGCGCTGGATGTTGGATGCTCTTGACAGAACTACACAGTTCCACTCCGTATGTCCAACGAAGACGTAGTAAAGTCTTATATAAGATTATTAGGAGATCGTGAGATGCAGTTTGGTGGGATGTAGGTTAGAAAAACATTTTCTTTATCATGCCAATGTTTCAATCTTTACTGAGATCATCTTCAGTGCCTGGGATTTACAAAACATTCTTTAAATTATACAAATACATGTAGGATGTGAAAAAAATGAATTTATACAATGATAGAAATTTTAGACATTAAAGTCTTAAATAAGGTCAGTTTACTTTTGTGGTCACAATGGATTTCGGTCCTATAAGTCTATATTTGTCCAAGTCTTTGGGTAAGTTGTTTCTTAAGTTTTGCATACGGATTCCACGTCAGTCTAATGCTTAGGAATAGTCCTAAGTATTTGGCTTAAAAATGAAGTAAAATGCATGTTGAGACTTGGCCAATATGCTAGACCATAAGGCCAAAAAAAAAAAAAAAAAAAAAAAAAAAAAAAAAAAATGCATGTTTTAAAAAGGCTGTTCAAGTATATAAAGGTGATTCCAAGCATTCCAGGAAAACAAGTTTTAAAAAGGTTGTTCAAGTATGTAAAGGTGAGTCATCACATTTTCGACTAAAACTGGACAGGATGGAAATTTTTCTTTGGTAGGAAAAACGTATGATCTAAACAAGCAATTTTGCAATGATCTTGGCGACATGATGGATTGGACAACATCGTTCCAGGCCAAAAACTGTATTTACTTTCTTAGGCTATTTTCCTTTTATTTATTTATTTTTTTTTTTTTTAATTTTAATTCTTTAAACCTTAAAATAAATATAAGAAAACAAAGATGACGTTGGGTTGTTTTGATACACAATCCAAAACTTATTTATAATGAAAACAAAACAGAAGAAAACGTATAGAAATGAAGTAAAGCACGTTTTAAAAGGTTGTTCGAGTATAAAAGTTGTCATCACATTTGGGACTAACATGTCACCGTTGCAGGCTTGTATCTTATGGTACAACTTTTACTTTCTTATGTTATTTTCCCATAAATTTCTTATTAATAATAATGTTTGACTTTGAAAAGAAACATAAGAAAAGAAAGGCGACATAGGGTTGTTTTGATAAACCAAATTTATTTGAAACCAAGACAAAACGGAAGAAAACGTATAAAATGAAGTAAAACGCGTGTTTCAAAAAGGTTGTTTAAAGTACATAAAGGTGATTCATGGCATTTCGAACTAAAACTGAACAGGATGGAAATTTTTCTGTAGTAAGATTAACGTGTGAACTGAACAAGCAAGTTTTCAGCGATCTGAACGACATGATGGATTTGGCATCACCATAGCAGGCTCATATCTCAAATTCTTGCCTATAACTGAATTTCTACTAATTAACAACTCAAATCTAAAAAGAAAAAGTTGTACCTTTGGACACTCGTACCATTGAGGTCCCACTGTATTTACTTTCTTAGGTTTTGTTCCATAAATTTCCATTAAGAAATTGTTGAACCCTGAAAAGAAACCTAAGAAAAGAAAGGCGAAAGTTTGTTCTCACAGGGTTGTTTTGATATGCAAACCCAAATTTAAAGAAATCTTTTAACAATAAAATAAAATGCGCGTTTCAAAAAGGTTGTTCAAGTAGATGATTCATAGCGTTTCGGAAAAAAAACATTCTAATCTATTAAACAAAAAAAAGAGAAACTCCTCTTTACCTATAATTGGAAAAATCATTATCTATTTTCTAAAACGATGGAAACCCAACCGATGATGAAACTTTCCCGATCTATTAAAACGATGATTGTTCAAAACGAGCCAGGCATAATTAAAAAGACGAGTTCCGCTTGGTAAACACGGCAATTGTTTAATTTCAGTTTATGCGTTAAAAAAATCTGATAAAAGGTTCTTTTAAATATTTTCATTTAAATTTCTTAAGATGTGTGGGTATTTTTATTGTTGAACAAAAGCAGACTGAATAAATAATAAAATACGCATTTACGAAGCCTAACCTATAAGGCGACATAGACACATGGTACTCAGAAGTAAAGGAAGCCCTAACAGGCGAGCTTTTTGAATTTGTTTGAAATATTTTCAAAATGTAAAGAAAATGTTTGTTTCGTATTGGTATAAATATTTTGGTTTTTTTTTTTTTTTTTTTTTTTTAATAATGTTTTAGGCTAAACTGAACTTTAGTATTATGACAAGTGGCACGAGGCGTAGAACTGTAGAAAACGGATTTTCAACGTTTTTATTATTTATAACTTAGTAATATTTTTATTTGCTTACCTCTTTTTCTGGTCTTGATCCGTTGACCTGAAAGCACTGGTTTTTCTGTTTTTTGACTCATACAATAACTGGCTGGAAAATAAAAAATAACAAGTTATTTGAAAATATAATGGAGGGTTGGAGAATGACTAGTATCATTTTCAATTGGGATGGGATCTTTTAATTTTTTTTTTTTCCAATCGGATAAGAAAAGAAAAATAAAAACATAAAAATAATAAAATAAAAAATGATTTACCGTGAAAAGTTTTGGCGAAGAATTCAATGAGTGTCAGTGTCGGGAAACTTTCGTTTCTTGTTTTAAATTTTTGATTGGAGTCGGAAATAAACTTTAAAAAAAGCTTCGTACAAGCGGGTTTGGTGGATGTGGGACGAATATACACTTCAAGGTTGTGGCCGGGTTAAAAAATCCAAGGGTACGCGGTAGCGGTATGGGGGAAAATGTGAGAAAAAGGCTTCGGGAAAGGGGCTTTCGTTTCAAAAGCTCGCCGCCCCGAGATAAAATAGAAAGACACTTACGGAGAAACCTTTTAACCTGCAGGAGGAGATTCTGTCTGGCTTGAAAGTGATGGAGGTTGTCTGCGAACGTGAACGTGAAAGGGGGCAGGGGGGACCGTGGTGTGAGTGGACGGCGTGTGACGGAAAATCCGGTTCCCAGGGTCAATGTACCTTTTCGCTCTTGTGTCTGCAAATGTGTTCGACGGCCTTTTGGGTGAATTTCAGTCCGGGGGAGTCGGGGTATTGAAAAGAGAAAAAATTAGACTTACTACAAAACTAATAAAAACTACCAAATGATATGACGTTCAGAGTTGTGGGAGAAATGATTTTCCTATGGATACTATATAACGCCGACACGGGTGGCTTTCAGCCGGCTATTTTCCCACTTGGAGATTTTCAACCCTTACAGGCGTCGACCTTTTTTATTTTAAAGCTTTTATTACTGATGGAGGAGATGGTCTTTTTTAATTTTATCGGTATGTCTCGTGTTTACGGCCTTTCACGGACGATACTCGCTGTGGCCGCTTCCTCAATCCTCCACCGCCAAAACTACAAACTTTCAACCGTTTGACATGGCCCAAAAACGGAGATATTTCTATTTTAAAATTGTTTTATCCTATAATGAGACACAAAAATGACTCTACAAATGACTGTCATGATCTGCTGTCAGAATTAAAAGACAAACAGTAGTTTTTATATATACAATCACTCTCCAACTGTTTGATTGTTTATTTGTTAAAATGACAGTCTGTCATAGCATAAAAAATGGTCATATTTATTTTACCAATGTTTTTAAAATTCAATAAAGTTGAGTGGTTATTCCTGGGCTTACAAAAAAATAAAATAGAATAAAAAACATTTCTTCTGACCTGGTTGTAGGATAATACTTGAGTGTAAACTTATAGATATTACATGGTGCAAATCTAAAGAAAGTTTGTGGCTTATTACTTTATCAAAAAATAGTCTTCTGTTTTGAGATTTACAGCCTTTCACAGACGATACTTGCTGTGGCTGTTTCCTCAATTGTCCACTGCCAAAGCTACAAACTTTCACATTTAGCAAAGTGCAGAATTGACAATACTTTGGTTGTTAAATAGTTTTATTCAAGAATGAGCTGCAAAAATGAATGTAAAATTGATTGTCATGACCTGTTGTCAGAATTAAAAGCCAAACTGTAGTTTTTAGATATAAGGACACTGCATACCACCCGTTAACTGATTGTAAAAAAATGCTAGTCTGAGCATAAAAAAATGGTCATATTTATTTTATCAATGTTTTTAAAATTCAATAAAGTTGAGTGGTTATTCCTGGGCTTACAAAAAATAAAATAGAATAAAAAACATTTCTTCTGATCTGGTTGTAGGATAATACTTGAGTGTAAACTATGGTATTGGTATGGAACTGTATACAACTCGTTAACTGATTGTAAAAAAATGACAGTCTGCCATAGCTAAAAAATGGTCATATTTATTTTATAAATGTTTTCCAAATTCAATAAAGTTGCATGGTTATTCCTGGACATATAAAAAACACATTTCTTCTGACTCAGTTGTATACTTATAGTTTTTACATAATTACTGTGTTTAACAAATTGCCTCTGTTAAAAATGGTAAATACACTGCAGTGTATACAAAATTAAAGAAAGCTCATTACTTTATCAAAAAATAGTCTTCTGTTTTGAGTGTTACAGCCTTTCACAGACGATACTCACTGGGGCTGTTTCCTCAATCCTCCACCGCCAAAACTACAAACTTTCAACTGTTTGACAAGGCACAAAAAGTTATTTTAATTTTAAAATTGTCTTATCCAACATTGAGGCACAGATATGACTGTATGATTAAGAATTCTAGTTGATATTGATCTACCTCTGTAGTTTAAATTGATGTATTGGATCTTCTTGAGGTCATTTTACCATACGACATTTTTGACTGTACGATTGACTGACATGACCTGCTGTCAGAAGACAAACTAGTTTTTAGATATACAGTCACTGTAACCACTCACTAACTGTTTGTAAAAAAATGCCAGTCTGCCATAGCACAAAAAAATGTTCATATTTATTTTAACAATATTTTCAAATTCACTAATTTCGTGGTCCGCTTGACCAATTAATATATTACAATTAATTAAGGTTTTTAGTTGAGATAAAAAAAAGAGGGAAAACTCAAAAGGTGGGGTTGAGATGGGAAGTTGGTATCCAAGTGGATCGAGGTCACGATAGCTCAAGTGGTAGAGCAGCGGCGTATCTAGCCGAAGATCGTGGGTTCGAATCCCGCTCGTGCCATTATCCTTTTTTCATCTCAACTAAAAACCTTAATTAATTGTAATGTATTAATTGGTCAAGCGGACCTCGAAATTAGTGAAATTACTGACTTGACAGTTGTACAGTTATCGCAGGCAATACTTCCTCTATCAGGCGATAACTTTCAATTACCCTACAACATATACACTCTACATCTACAAGCCCATCTGATCTCTATCCCCATTCATACAGAACTATTGCATTCAGTTGTACCTTCCTCATTTGTGCTCCCAGCCTAGGAATTCCTTCTTCATTCTATCCGCTTAACTCCATTCCTTTCGACCTGATTACCTCTGCATGGTGGCCGAGTAGTTAGTGTATCCCTCTTGTATTGCTATGCATGTGGTCCTGGATTTGTATACTGGCACAGCCCATGTTATTTTAATTGTTAATAATATGAAATAAGTATTTTAATGAAGTTTGATCCCTCATCCGTGACACCCAACAACTAGCTCAATGTTAAGCCCCTTTTGTATGACAGGAATTTTACCTCTTGTCCTTACATGGCACTGAAGATATTTAGTCGTCCCTGTCTAGTTTTATTTCTGTTATTATTATTGTATTTTTACTTTGTGAGTATATGTTTTTGTATATTTATTAGTTTTATCATGCATGAATATTTTATAAATAAGTTGTGTTTATAATTAATTATTCAAAGGGAATTAGTTCCAGAATAAAGTTTTCCTGTAAAAAAATTTCTCTTTCCACTTTTTCATAAATTTTGTAAAAATACAAATATTTTTGTTATTCAACCTTTATTAAGTAAGTGTTGCTGGTCGTATACACTACACGTGTTAATTTAAAACTAAGGAAATAAAAATAAAATCAATATAATTTTTGTACATAAATTTTATTATTGTAAAATTTAAAACATTATATACAATATTTTCACTAGGTACTGAACTTGACCCTTTTTGCCTTCCAATGAAAAAATATTTTAAAAAAATTGGATTTGTCATGGTGATGAAAAGTCATAGAAAAACAATTTGGTTATCGTCACTTGACGAAATCAGTTAGTCCACATAAGACTCAATTTATATCACTTTTATTTACAAAGATAATTTTATTTACAAAAGCAATATAAAAGTTTTTTTTTATATCAAAAGTACAAAATATATACACAGAGAAGGAAATATCTGACGATAAAGAGATTTATAATACCAGACATATCAAAAAACTTTTTGTTAAAAATATTAAAATTCTAAATAATAGTACACCACAAAATATTCAATACAGGGGGCAGAAATTATTTGCAGAACACTTTTTTCTTTTTAATTAAATATATAACTATACATATATAATATACAAATACGAAATAATTGATTTTTTGTTGTTGTTACTCCATAGAAAAATATTCAACATTTCACTAGAATAATTATCATTCTACTTAACCTCAACAATATTGCTGATGAAATGCTTATGTAGATATTATACATAAGCTCACATTTAAAATAACAAAGCGAAACCAAATGATTATCTTTAACATATCACAGAAATTAGCTCCACACGTATGAAGCCTAGCTCGCTTCGCCTTCTGGAATTCCTCTCAGCCTGTCGATATTAGAGCAAATCTTGAGCGCAGGGCCGAGTTTCATGGACATAGCGGACATCAAATGGTCGGCTTTCAGTAGCATAAGCGCCTGCCCGTCAATTTCTTGAATCGCAAAATCTTCAACATAATCGCTGCACCCGGGCAGTTTCTTAATGAACTCACAGACATCGGTTACCTGAGGAAGGGAGAATCGCACGATAATATAAATGATGAATGATGGAGTGAGTGCGGTGTTCAATCCTTTTTAAAAAGGATTGCACGATAATTTTTCAATAAATTTTATATTTTCTGTTAAAAAAAAAATCTATATTGATTTGTACTCACCGACCACTTGAAGGGATTGATATTAGCGAGCTCGCCGATATCATCAATTCCAGCTGCAACATTGTTTGTTCCGCTTGTTAATGTTTCTGCATTGCTAACTGCTTCGGCTGAAGATGCTGTATCCTAATTTACAAATTTTAAAAGTTATAAAAATTATCACACAATACAACTCCCAAAATACAGGATTTTGAACGAGAATTGTGTCATTCAGGAACAACACATTTATACTAGATGGCCCATAAACAGACATTAATACTAAAGAAGATTATGGCATATGTTAAATTGGACTAAAACGGCTCTATTGTCCAAAGTCTGATTCTTGTATTTGAGTTATTTCACTTTTTGAGTTACCTCAACGTATCATATCGTAAATATTAAAACAGGATTGACGCAGATGCAGTAAATATGTCGAACAAAGAACTTACAGACTCCATCCTCTGGTTGACTGGGGTGGCTGCAGCGGATTCCGTCGGTTTATCAGCTATCTTTTCATTCGGGACCGCCGCCCCATTTTCTTTCTTGGCGTTGTTACTCGAAAAGCTGCAATGCAAATTGAGGATAAGTTGACGATACATTAAAATTTTGAGTAAGTTCATTACGTTTTTGCGCAGGCTAGAGAGCAGAACCTCTTGTTCTTCTTGAATTTCTCCTTTTTCCCAATTGTTCCGCATGCTTCACATTTCGCTTGATCTGGTTTGAGCAATTGCTTCTCACTGATTTCACTCTTGGTCGTTTCACAACCCAAATTAGGCTTTTTCACTAGAAACGAACAAAAATACAGATGATTTACTTCAGAAAATAATATATTAAAAAATATATATAATAATTACAAGGTGGTTCATCTGCACTCAAAGCAGTAGTTTTATTAGATGGTTTTTTGCTTTTGATTGTTTTAGCCAATTCAGTCAGCAGGACAGATCGGTTTATTGGAAATGGTTCTGAAGCTAAAAAAAAGAACATGAAAACCAATGTTAACATATAAATTAAAATGTAATTTTTCAACCAAAATATTAAAAACTTTACATTCTTGAATGACATATCCTTCAATAACATGTGTCAAAACTTGAGGTTTAACCATGGCTTTTGGAGGCCCCGATGATTTCTGTGAATCTTCCTGTTCTTGGGTTTTGGGTGCAGTTTGACTTTCTTGAACAGGAGGGGGTGGAGTCGGCGCTGAAGTTTCTTTCGCAGGCAGTTGAACCTGGGGTTGAGGTAGGACTTGCGATGGAGGCTGAGGTTGTGGGATTTGCTGCTGAAGCGGCTGAGCTTGATTTACTGTGGACGTCGGGGTGACCGGTTGTTGGACTTGTCTAGGTGAAGCGGGTACTTGCGGATACTGGTTCAAAGGCACTGTGGCTATGAGTGCTGGAGGGTCGGTCTGTGCGGACGGGAGTAGTTCAATCTTCGTAATACAGTCTGAAGTCGGTGTATAAGCATTCTCTTGCTGAACAGGCACAAGCTGCTGAACTTCCTGTTGTACTACTTGCTGTATTTCCATCGGTTTGTCTTCTGCAGGAGCTATTTCTTTCGGCGATTGTACTTGCTGTAATGTCGGCATCGATATACCTGTAATCAATTAATAATTGTAAAGGTTGGAAATAATAAGTAAAAAAGAGCAAAACTTACTCATTAGAGGAGGTGGTTTGGGTTGAAGCATCTGCTGTTGGGCCTGCAGTGTGACATGTGTTGTTTGAATTTGTTGCTGTTGAGCCACTTGCAGCTGCTGTTGTGGCATCAATGTCCCTTGTGATGTAATGATCATCCTTTAAAAATTTCAATTAATATTTGTTTACATTTTGTTTTTTTATTTACAGAAAATTAATAATATTTTACTTGGTACTATTCTGATGCTGGTTAGCTTGAGCAACCTGATGAGTTTTAGTTTGATTCTGAGCATCAAGTTTCGGTATTGGCATACCTTTAGTCAATATTGTCTTTCTTATTTTATTCTGTATTGTCTAAAAGTGTTGATAAAATAATTAAATTGTAACATTGAATTTGTTATATGAAGAAAAAGAATGACGTACTGTGGTGTGCTTTGGTACTATCTGTGTTGTAGCACTTGTCGAACCAGCAGCTCTTATCGGAGAAGGCATTGAAGGTAATATCGACAGAGTTCTCGAAGTTGTTTGCTGAGCTTGCTGAGCTATTAAGCACATAAATTCACTGTATTCCTTCTTCTGAGAATTTCAAAATATCAACTTACGTGTTGGTTGCTGCTGAACGGTCTGCTGCGGTTGGGACTGAATGAACATGGTAGGATCTTGGTGAGGGCCTCTTATAAATATGGGGTTCTGAGCTGTGATCACCTGCTGGTGGTGAGGCGTAGTCCAGACCTGAGGTATTTGTGGGCCAAACTGCCACGGTGAGAGCTGAACACCATTTCCCGATGCTGCTATTCCTCTATTTTGACACGTTGTGTACTATGAGAAGAAAATTATTATTATAACTTCATTAAAAAAAAAAATAAAATACTGGCTATAAATCTAAAATATTTTTTACCTGGATAGGAGAAATGAGCTGATGAAGCATTGTAGGAGGCTGTGAAACAACACAACCAGATAAAGCTACACTAGACTGCACATTTGTCCCTTGAGCCTGTTTCATCTGTCCCGCTGAAACAGCCTGCAGGGATGATTTAATCTAAATAAGTGTCGAGAGAACAAAATCAAAATAGTGACGGAGCAGAATTCAGATATTGGACACCCGCCACCTTTTAAATAATTTTTCGATCGTAAGCTTTATAATATACCTTCTGTAGGTCTTGTTTCTGCTGTCCTCCTTGGTTTGACCCTGCAGGAAGTATGTTTGGCTGGCTGCTCAGTACTCCCAACTGTCCGATAACAAGGGTCTGATTTGTGGTCGTTGGAATTGTTGCATAGCTTGGAAACGAAGCTGTAAAAAGGTAATTTTACTTTCCTATAAAAAATACTAAATTTTTAAATAACTTACTTTGCTGCGTTCCGATAACTTGTTTTCCCAAAATCTGGGATGTGATATGATTAGACTGGAAAGGTTTGCCAGCAGCAATAACCTTACAATAGATAAAAATATGAAACAAAATATTTATTTATTGTTTTATATATATATATATTTTTTTTTAATTGTACCTGAATAGATCCACCTGGGTTCATATTGTGACCAGGATGAAGAGCAATATTTCCAGACATCAACATCTGCCCGTTTGCATTGTATACCTGCTGTACATATGCTGTATTTTGGACTGGCTGCTGTAAAACTTGTACCTAATGCAAAACAAGTTAATACACAGCCATCAAATAAAATTAAAAAATAAAACCTACCTGCTGAAGCTGAGGAGCTTGTGCATTTGTAGGAACAGACTGAGCCATGCTTGCTAAAAGTAATACAAACAAAACTCAATGATCACAATAAAAAAATAAGAATTGCATAAAAAATTATAACAAAAAATCACCTTGCATGGTAGAAATGGTGTTCCCAGCCGAACACAGAGGACTCTGAGGCGTTGACATCCCAACAATGTTCTGCTGTTGGATGTTGGCCGAATTGACTAGCAATGTTTGTTGCTGCACTTGCTGCTGTTGTTGTGAGGAGGCTACGACGGCCTGCTGTTTCACCTCCATCACCTGAGCCTGCTGTTCAGCTTGCTGTTGTTGCTGCTGCTGCTGTTGTTGCTGTTGCTGTTGTTGTACCTGTTGGTCATGTTGCGCCTGTTGCTGGTTGGCCTGCTGCTGCTGAAGCTGTTGCTGTTGACATAAAACCATCTTACTCAACAAGGAAATGTGCTCTTATTATACAAAGTTTTGCAAAAAGTCTATGATATTAAATTATTTTTTAAACTATTTTTTTAATCCATATTAGATAGAATTTCTTTTCTTTTTTTTATATTTAATTTTAGTAAATTTGTTTTGATACAGTTTGTTTAAAGTGCGGTTAATCTAGGGTTAAGGATTTCAGGCTTAGAATTATAAATTTATTTCTACAAGAAGAATTTCGATTAAATGTTAAATAATTAAAAAAGGTGATCAATTTGTTCCTGGTGTAGAAATTAGAAAACCCCCTTGCCAACTGAAATATACCAAAACTTAAAATAATGTATTCAGTTAACTCCTAAAATTATAAAAATTTGTAGATTGGGATCATTAAAAAATATATAAAAAAAATAAGTAAATACATAAATAAAAATCTTCCACTCTTCATAAAATCAAAAGAAAATAATTTCATTAACCGGTCAAGGTAAAAAAAGGAAAAACTTTCACTTGGGCGGAGAGATACCTTTTAACCCCCTAGGACAGGTAGGCTGGTGAACCGTAGGAGACCAGAAAAAAATAAGTCGGCCGCCCACGGCACAAAGCCCTCCAAGCCCCCAGGAACTTCCACACAAAAAGCGGCTTAACGGTCTGACATTTTCTTGGAAGAAAGCTCTCATTATCCCCATAGAAATTTCGAAATCCCTATAATTCATTTTCCATTCTACTAATTAAAATACATTTTAGATCGGATTAATAGCAGCGTGTTCATACTGTCAAAAACTTTCTCACGGACAATTTGAACATGAAAATACATTAAACAAATACCTTTCGGACAACTTTTGTACATTTTTAAAGTCCACGAACAAATGTTCATAGGTTTTTGAAAAACTTTTAGTAGGTACTTTTGGGATTTTACGGTAAAAGTTATAAAAATGTCTACTTTCTAAGTCCTGGTTAAAAAAATTATAAACTGTGGATTGATGATGTTTAGAATTGTATCGGTAATTATTTAAAAAAAAAAACTCGTCATGGGTCTCGTATCTGTAATCCCTGTAGGCAGCGTTTATCTCACTTCTGAAGATATTGAGCCCAAAAGAGATCAATTTTCTCAATTGATACCATAAACAATATAATTAAAATTGTGAGAATATCTATTAAGGCCTGGAGGGGGGATGAACGGTCTCATTTGGTCGTATCAGATCACATTAGCCTGCCTATCTGACCGAAAAAGCAAAGATAGACAGACTAAAAGCTTATTGATCACCTTGATTTAAAATATCAGACAGCCCGTTTTTAACCTTTTTAAAAATTGATAATTTTGTAGCAAGGCGATAAATTTATATTCTTTTTCGCTAAGGTTTTGCAAATTCGGCTCGGCATGATTACCTGTAACTGCTGATGGTTGCTAGCGCTCGTTATGATGATCTGCTGCTGCTGGCCTTGGTGCTGAGCAGAGGAGACGGCCTGTTGCAAGACCTGTGCCTCCATAGTTTATCGATCCTATTTCGTCCTCCGGGGTTCTCGATGCCCGTAAATATCACGTTATGCGATACTGATTATAAAAATGTCCTCTCGTCTGTAAAAAAAAAAATTAACTCTTTCGTCGGGAAAACGAAGTACAAATAGATTTGTGAAAGTCTAATTCTATTTTCAATTGGGTGAGAGTGAGTATAAATAATTTACAAAAACACCCGATATATCTAATATTTAATCAATTTCGATTTAAAAGTACATAAGAACGGGTTGAAAATGTTTAAAAAGTAGCTTCCATGCTGAGAAATCTTGTCTTTAGCAATGACAGTTAAAAATATATATATTATTGACAGCCCTAGTTTTATGCATGAAACATAGCCAAAAGAGCAAAATTTCACCATTTAACTTAAAAACAACTTTCACATCGTCAAAATTCCCCATAAAAGCGAAACAAATTAAAACAAATAATCTTGGCTTTGTCCCTGTTGATGACCTCACTCTGATCCTCATAATCATTGTTTTTAATTCAGGTCAATCTCGCATAATATTTTAATTAAAACAAATAAGGTTAATTTTTTGCCCAACGACACAACAATAAATCAAGACATCTTTAAGTATCACAATTTTTCAAAAATCGACGATTTTTCGCTTCATAAAACATTAAGATAAAGCATAAAAGAAGTGTTTTGTTCCCGTTGATGACCTCACTCTGAACCTCATAATCATTATTTTTAATTCAGGTATATTTCGCATAACATTTTAATTAAAACAAATAAGGTTAATTTTTCTTCTATAAAACAAGGCCTCTTTAAATTTCACAATTTTGTAAAAATCAACGATTTTTTTCACCCCTTATCGAAAACCTTCACGCATTTTTTTTGCAATGTAATGCAGCACGCTATCGACCGGTTTCGCTATTGTACAAAACACCTCCCCTTTCAGTTGTACCCCGGAGAACTTCACCCCTTGGCCCCTATAGTCAAAGCCCACAAGAAAAATAACACTCCTATTATTCCGGACACACACATACACACACGCACACAAGTCTAGTTATCTATGTTTTTGATTATGACGTGAACCTATTGATTGACAAAATAAAAAAATTATACTAAGGAAAAATGTTCAAATTCTGAGATAAAGGTTGTAAGGTCAGGGTTTATTTATTGCACAATTGTTGACTGCAGTGTTTTATTTTGTGTCCGTATAACATCCTTCTCTCTAGGCTGGACCCTTTGGAAACATCCAACAATATCGATCCCCCGGTATCGTTTCGGCAGCACGCACTCGAATATCCCTATGCTCCGCGTCACAATGTTACGCTAGGCCGATATATCGACATCGTACCAAACTACCAACGCCCAAACCCATAATTTTGCCCGGACCCAATTAAACGTATGTATATTTTACGAGAGATAGAGATAGAGATAGATAGATAGATAGATAGATAGAGAAAGAGAGAAAGAGAGAGAGAGAGAGAGAGAGAGAGAGAGAGAGAGAGAGAGAGAAGAGAAGAGNGAGAGAGAGAGAGAGAGAGAGAGAGAGAGAGAGAGAGAGACAGAGAGAGAGAGACAGAGAGAGAGACAGAGATAGAGAGACAGAGATGACAAAACCGAGGGGGAGATACGGGAAATGAGCTCCCCCCGACACAGAGGGTGGGTTGGTTTGAAGGAAATGGAAATGGTTTTTCTATTGCATTTGCTCTTTTCGACGATAAGACCGTAGCCAGGATTCTATTGAAGTTATAGTTCGTTTTCACATAGGTGGACATTATCGTTCCAATATTTAATTCTTTTAAACACAGACAACCAAGATTGGTTCATGAGCCAAACAGCAGTCTGTTAGAAAAGTTCAGTTCTTTAAAACGTGATGATTAACAAGTATGCCGCGAAAGCGTCAACCAAATGACTCGTGATTAATTATTATCGTCACTAAAAACAATTCGTGCTTTCATGCACATTAACTTACAGATATACTGTTGGGATTATGGCGATACGCCAGTGAGAGACGGAAGGAGAGAGGATAAGATAGGGTCAAAATTTGGGGTGTAGCAAACAAAAATTTAGCTGAGGGAAGCACAATGTAAATTTATTTGGTTGCAATAGCGAGGACAGACGGACCAGATCAATTTCGAACCTGCGGATATCACATTAATTCGTGCATAATCACGATAGTTTATCTAATTCGCGCTTAGAAAAGGACACGGTTGACAGAATAAAGCACAGACAAACTAGCAGGTCCGTATAGTAATAGTTCACTAGGTACGACAAAACTTTACTCAAGACAAAGGCAAATCTTCTCTTTTAAGATACTTGTAGAAGGTCACAGATGACCCAACGAAGCACAGATAAACCAGTGAAAATGGTTAAATACGCCTAACCAACAAAAACAGCAAGTCTGAGCAGTATATCATACACAAGTTTAAATAAAAATTAATTAAGGTTTTTAATTGAGATAAAAAAGTCAATGGCACGAGCAGGATTCGAACCCACGATCTTCGGCTAGATACTCCGCTGCTCTACCACTTGAGCTATCGTGACCTCGATCCACTCGGACACTAACTCCCCGGCGTATCTAGCCGAAGATCGTGGGTTCGAATCCCGCTCGTGCCATTGACTTTTTTATCTCAACTAAAAACCTTAATTAATTGTAATATATTATTGGCCAAGCGGACCACGAAATTAGTGAATTTAAATAAAAAGTTGGCAAAAGGCCTATCTTAATAAATCGACCAATTTTAAGTTTTTCAAGCCTAAAATCAGTATTTTTGAAGTGTCAAAATAAGAATCAAATTTTTAAAAAATATTTGCCAAGCACTTTATCCTCGTGAGAAAAGACTGTCAGAAGTGACAAAACTTCACTTCTAGGAGGCAATGCCTTTCATTTTTAGGAAACGTATACAAGGATACGGTTGAAAACATAATGCACAGTTCAACCACTGATGAAGACAAAATACCGATAGAACAAGTGAGAATCGGCAGACCAGTATGTTTGGAGAGATATGAGAGAAACTGCGAAGACAAACGGATAAAAGGTTGCCATGATTGGTGTTCCAAGTTCATGACTGTTATGTTCGGAGACGATCCAACTAACTATATGCTGGATTGATACAGTTTATATGACAGATGCAGGGAAAACAAACGGATAAGTAAGAAAGGTCTAACTGAGGTTGTGGTCAACAAAATTGAACCGTGAGAAACAGAAGGTAAATTTTCAGTATGAAAGGACAAGACCTGCTTTAACAATAAGACTTATACTTCGGTCAGAAAGGCGAAATGCCCAAACGCGTCTTTTTCAAACAGACGTCAAATAGAGCAAATCAGTGAGGATAGGCAGACCAAAACAATCGATAATGACCAGATTACAGGTTCATCACCCAAAGGCCTCACGCTAAAACTAAATAGGACTAGTATCCATGAACGTGAAGAATTGTGAACTTATTTCCAGAAAAAAAATGCTGTTACCATTTTACATACTTATATCGTTCACTGGGTTCGACAAATTTTATATCTGTACAAAGGCAATGCTTTTCAGTTTTAAGACACTTATAAAAAGGACACGATAGAATCAATAGTGCATAGACAAACCAGTTAGGACGCTGAAATCCTTTTGACAGACAAAATTAGCAGTTTTAAGAAGACCAGTTTGGTATAGAGTTCACTAGGTTCGAAAAACTTTACATCTCGACAAAGGCAAAGCCGTTCACTTCGAACACTCTTATTAAAAGACACGGTTGACACAATAAAGCACCGAAAAACAGTGAAGTTGGTGAAATCCCTACGGAAGACAAAGCCAGCAGTTTTAAGCAGACCAATAGGTTACTGTTTACTAGGTCTAAATAGAAAAATGTCTATTTTAAATAAATAAGATAACTAGACTAAGACAACTAGACAAAGACAATGCCTTTCACTTTGAACACTCTTATAAAAAGACTGTGTTGACACAATAACTCACAGAACCAGCTAATATAATAAGCACACAGGAATAATATCTATGGACTGTATATATTTTAACGGGTTCTAATAAAAAGTTGGTAATTTAAATATATGTTAACGGACAGTTCAGGACTAGGTCCCAGGCTTTCAGGTTTCTTCTAGCAGTTTTTCCTTTTTGAGTAGTCGATTTTTCTTTGATCTCATATTAAGTAGTGAGGCTCCAAAAACTTTACGCAAAGCACAGCCTTCCATAGCGGTATTCTCAGACCCACAAGACACCATAACAACCGAGACTATCCATCCAACCAGCAGGCTGCACTAGTAAAACTTTCATACACATATTTTTATTTTCTCTTCATTTTATTCTCTTAAGTTTCATCTCACCAACTGGCGTCTTCGACGTCTTCTAGTTTCAATGTAGGTCATATTTCAAACGGACTTGTAGGCCGGATCTGCTTGCAACTTGCACGGCAACTAACTCTTCATATTTTATTATGTAATTTTGTAGCTTGACCGTTCTAACAGGTCAGACCATGAGTGTGAAATGGGTTTTGCCTCTAGACAAAGTAATAGCCACCGATATAGGTTCGTTACCCGTACCCTTTCATGCCGTATCGTAAAGAGGGGAGGAAGTTAAGAATTACAATCCGGCTACACCCCTAACCGGCAACTCATCCTTTATTCCTTCCATGCCCTTATCCTCGAGGCCTACTGCCTATTGAGACAAACCTATTGAGACAAAATTGCCTATTGAAACAATGAGAGATCTGGCCTCTTTCGATCCGCTGTATAAACTACTAAGCCTTTCCAAAACCATACCAATAATAAAAATATTTAAAAAAGGGCATATTAAATATTCATGAGAGTTGTAAGGACTAACAATGAACTAGGACGAAAGTGAAGAACCTATTGACAGATTAAAGAAGGGGGATGTTCATTAAGTCCTGGTCGGAAAATAATTAACAAGAGACCGGTGCTGGTAAAGTATTACCACATAATGACTCGTGATTAATTATTATCGCCATCAAAAGACGCTTAGGCCAAATCAGTTTTTTTCCCGAACTAATTGCTATTATCTTCACCTCGACTTGCTTTATACTTAAAGATAGTTTATTCTCTTTTCTCTGCTGTTTGCTAATATCTGTTTCCTTGTGCATTGCAGGTGGGTACA